CCGAAGAGGAGATTAGGCCGATCCCTCAGCCTTATCTGCTCCCAAGCCGAGGTAGTAGAAAACACACCTGATGATGTAAGTCTCCACCTCATGCTATCTGAACCGTCCCCCGAGATAGGGATCTGCTGGATCTGATCTAATAACTGCTCGCTAAAACCCGCACCAGCCCCCAACTCCCTATCAAGCTTCCCCCTATCCCACGTCCTGTCCGTCCAAAGGTCGCTGACGAGCAGGTAGGGGGAATGCGACACCTGCCTATCCCTGGACAACGGCCTATCACCTACCCACCACTCATCCCAGACACTGACATCGCCCCCACCCAAAACCCAAAAGATGTGGTCCTGGGCTCGCCTCCCGACCCTAGTGAGGCGCCGCCACTGTCTGCTATCATGATCAACAGCCTTGACCCAACAAGGGTGGTTGGCACGTCTAGGGCAGTACTTGCCGCGAAGGTACTGAGCCCAAAGCGACTTTCCTTCCCTGAAGCGCCACCACAGCTTGTATGAGAAAGCTGTAACTATGTCCCTGAGGCGGCGGATGCCAAGGCCACCCTCGGGGAGGGGGCGACAGATAGAATCCCAACTCACCCAGTGAGTACGTCTCCCCCTCCCAGACCCGTCCTCGTACCCCCAGAAATAACGAGCCATAGTCTGGTCAAGCTCGTCAAGAGTAGACCTAGGGGGGTCGAGGACCATAAGCAGGTGAATCGGGAGAGAGCTAAGAGTGCTCTTGATCAGCGCTAGCCGACCACCGAAAGAAAGATATCTATGCGACCAACCAGAGATCCTGTCGATCATCCTCTGTCTGACGCCCGCAAAGAGCGCTCTCGTGAGGTTGCCCTTATATAAAGGGACCCCGAGGTAGGTAATGGGAAGGTCGCCACGTGCAAAGCCAGTAATGTCGTGGACCCGCTGAGCCCACCTGTCCACTGTGGCAGATGAAAGGATGAAGGTGCTCTTCTGCACGCTGACCAGCTGACCGGTGACCAAGCCATAGTGCTCTAATAGGCGCATGAGCTCGACCAGTCCATCATCATCCGCCCGGGTGAAGATAATGATGTCATCCGCGTAAGAAAGGTGAGAGACGGTAGGACCGTAGCCACGGGTGCTATAGGTCATATGGGGAGAGTCGCGGATGAAGCCGTCAAGGCAGCGAGAGAGGTAGTCCGCCGCAAGGACGAAAAGGGAAGGGGAAAGAGGGTCGCCCTGTCTAAGGCCTCTAGAGGAGGGAAAGAAATCGGTGGGGCTGCCATTAATCAGGACCGAGAACGTGCAATGCTCTACACACGCCTCCACAAAGCTGATCCAACGCTCAGGGAATCCCATCCTAGCCAACGCCTCCCTAAGAAACGGCCACTCAACCCTATCATACGCCTTAGCCATGTCTAGCTTCAGCGCGATATTCGGAGCCCGCTTCCAGTCCGCTCGGGAGATGTCGTGGATCATCTCCTGGGCCAGAAGGATGTTATCACTAATGACCCGATCCTTGACGAATCCACTCTGGTTCGGAGAGATGAGAGAGGGGAGAAGAGGGGAAAGACGGCCGTTAAGAATCTTCGAAATGAGCTTGTTGGTCACGTTACACAGGCTGATGGGCCTGTAATCGGACCAAGAGCTCGGGTTGGGTCGTTTGGGGATCAAGACGACAGAGGTAGACGTGAAGGAATCCGGCATCCGGTGGCCGGAGAAAAAATCCAACATCGCCTCCTGGACGTCAGTCTCGACAATATCCCAGCAGACCTGATAGAAGAGGGAGGAGAAACCATCCGGGCCAGAAACGCTGTTGGGATCAATCCCGAATACAGCATCCCTAACCTCCTCCCTGCTCGGGAGCTCACAGAGGCCAATGAGATCGACCGAAGGAGGGATGGTGGGGAAAAAAGAAGCGTTCGGGGCCACGAGGGACCCTCTGTCAGAGGTGAAGAGGGTCTGGAAGTGAGCAACAGCCGACTCCCGAATCTGAGCCTCCTGGGTCAAGGATGACCCATCAGCCTCGATACTATGGATGTACGACTTAGCACGCTTCTGCCTAACGTAGCCCTGGAAGAACCTAGTATTCCGTTCGCCCTCGGCCACCCAGCGAACGGCCGCCTTCTGCTTCCAGAAGTCCTCCTCCATAAGGAGTCGGAGCTGGTACTCGGCGTGGCAGCGGTGCATGGCGGTCCTATTCTCCGGAGTGGGATCCAGGTCATAGGCCCGCTCAGCCGACGCATGCGCACTCTGAGCTGCAGTAAGGCGGTGATGAAGGTTTCCAAAAACATCCCAGTTCCACTGTCTCAACCGACGCCGCAGTCTGCCGAGCTTCGCCTCGAGATTGCGCATCCCGAAGAGCCCAGTCGGCTGAAGCCAGGAATCCCTGACAGTGTCGTGGAAGGAGTGGTGGCGAACCCACATGTTTTGGAACCTAAAGGAAGCGCGGCGAGGAGTGCTCGAAAAACGACATCTAATGAGGAGGGGTGAATGGTCAGACCCAAATCGAGTGAGGTGCGTGACGGTCGTGACCGCAAACACCTTCGACCACGCTTCAGAAATCAAAGCACGGTCGAGCCTCTCCTTGAGGTCGTCCCTAACCCACGTGAAGGGCTCACCCTCGCATCCAGCATCAAGCAACTCACAGTCCGCCACAGTCTGCGCAAAATCCCACATCTCTCGGGATCTGTCCGTGCGGCCACCCACGCGCTCATCGGGGTGCAGAAAGATGTTGAAATCGCCACTAACCATCCATGGCAATCCCTCCATACTCTCGGCAATCTCACGCAGGGTGTCCCAAAGATCATATCGCCCGACCCTAGTACACTTGGCATAGACCAAGGTGTGATAGATGGGCTCCGGGAGGTGGGCAGCGGAGAGCTCAACGTGAAGCACCTGATCGGTGTCACGCAGGACCCGACAAGTGTAATCACGCGAGTGAAAAAAGAAGATCTTATGCGACATATTGCCGACGCCCGAGTGAAAACCAAGGCGACGCGAGTAGTAGTCAAGCGAAGGGTTGCGAATCATTGGCTCAATGAAGCCAACAAAATCGAGTCTGTGGTCACGAATCAGAGAATGGAGGTGAGAGAGGGTAGCCCTGTTCGCTAGGCCACGGCCATTCCAAGTAATGGACGTGACTGACATATCAACTGTCGCGAGAGCCACTGGACATAGTCCGCCTGTGGCGAGGCTGAGTCGCGCTGCGTAAAGCAGGACGACGTCGAAATGATCCAATAGCAGGGGAGGCAGTCCGCCGCAGCGTGCGCTGTGAGGCTCTGGTCCTCGTATACTGCCTGCCTCGGATGGCGCTCGTGGCCTGTGTGTCGTCTGGCTGGGCAATCTGACCAAGAGCGACACTAGCGGCTTGCCCCATATCCGGGGCTGTCTCCTGTCTGTCATGGTGCACAAAGGCACTAGACGCGAAGCTCTCGCAGGAGACGTCATGCTGAGCGCGGTTAAGAAAGCATGCCTGCTCAGGGATGGGAGAAAGAGGGAGTCCAGCCGGCGGGGCAGTCATGTGCTCGCCTCCCGAAGTAGGGTGGGGACTGGCTATATGCTCAGCCGTGCTCCTAATCTCCGGAGAGAGGGGAGGGACCGACTCATCCCCTTTCGGGGGAGCGGTGGAGGCACTAGCCCTCAAATCTAGAGGGCCGCGGTCCGGATTGGATGCACGCACGGTCTGAGGGTCAGCGTTGCGTGCACTGTCATCGGACAAATGGATGGACTCACCCCTGGTCGATGCCTCCGGCTGGTCCATATCGTCG